TTCAATCTTGGTCTGAAAAGAACTTTCATAATATCTATGAAATAAAGAAGTTGTACCCTTTTTCCAAAAGTGTACTACAACCCTTCAGTTTCATAATGACCACCTCTGTGACCAAGATGGCAGTTGTTTCTAGATGTGAGGAGATTCGACTGTATCCTTAGTACAGCGTAGGGGCGAGGGGCAATCTCTATTGTTTCATGTGTTTGTCTTTGACTGATTCATCACTACCAGCTTGACGTCACATAGTAACGGGCGAGAGGTTCGAGTCGCTTGTGCAAATTTGTAAGGGACTCTATGGTCATTAGAGCAAGAGAGGTCGGGGATAAGAATTAAAACTAGGCAAATATTGCTGTCCATCGTTAATTTGATCATAAGTGTGTGAGCTTTGTTGTTGCTTCTATGTGCTTGTGTAATCCGCCTTGGTATTTTGTGCCCGTCATTGTGTAATTTTGTTTATTTGTGTCGCGGACCGTGTTACGGAATCGTCATCTTCTTTACGGGACCAGCAAGGGCATAAAAAATTTATAAAGTTCATTTTTTCTCCAGAATAACCAACGCCTAGTCTCCAGAATAGGAGGTTCAATTCAGAGGTCACACACGTTTATATTCCATATTCTTTCGCCAATTAAATCGGCTGTACTTCTGATGAACCTCTTCGAGAGTGTGGGCCCCTTTTATTTCTCATTTCTCCACCAAATTCAGTACAGCTAGCTAGTTTGATCGATTTTCTACAACGACCGGTCTTTTGAACCCCAAATAATACGAAATGGCTTTGAAATACTCGCTTAACCTAATTTTTCCTCGAACGTATCTTTCAACTCATGATAAATACAGCTCTACCAGCTCCTAACAGCGTCTATGGCAGAGAAAAACGGTTTTTTAACAATTTACTTCACCAAACACTGAGTGGCACCGTGGTGCAGTGGTTAAGGAGTTGCTTGCAGGTACAGATGAACTAGGTTCTCCCGCTCCAATCGAAGCAGTTTTTTGTTTCTCAATTTGTACATTTTTTTTCTGTTAATAGTTTTTGTTTTAATCTTGTTTTTTCCTTTGGCTTGTTTCCCCTTACTGCTTACTCTTTTCAACTTTGCGAGTTTTTTTGCGATAACTGGTGGTGATCAGTGAACCTATGTTTACCTTAGAGATGGCCCCTCTCTCCTTGTTCAACTCAATATTTTTATGTGGTAATAGGAAATGTGCTCGAGTTCTTAAAGAAGTAACTCAACGATTAGGTCATCTTTGGAGTATCGTTTTGGTTGCTTAAATTTTACGTGCATATTGCTATTAGGTCATTGTAAACGCGCATCTATTTTGACATCGTCTTTAATTTATTTGCATTGAAACTGACGTCGTTAATTGCTGGACATCAAGATCAACAAACATCGAGCCTCCGAGCGTTCATATGACAACAAAGAGATTTTGAACGATCAGGGGGAATGCAGATATCAAGTAAGTTCCTGAACTTTGCACATACCAGCTCTATCTGCTCTTAATAATAAATTATATCCTTTACTTTGGTCCAGACTGTTCGTTTGGGTGTTTGTTTTTCTCGGGGGGGGCAGGGGGCTTTCGGAAACGTCCTTACAGGAAGGCTCCGTCCCAATAACAACTTAATAGCACTTTATTTAGTATACCTTTTTGGACAACTAATACAGTGTACCCTTTCTCTGTACCTCCCATTTGAAAATGGTACTCCTTTCACATACCTTCTTAAGAAAACTGAGTTCACTTACAATCTTTGCCGACACAACGTTCGACTTGCTCATTGGTTCCATCCCACCCGCTTCCGCCGTACTGGGGAGAGGGTTCGGTGCATGATCTGCTGCGTTTTTTGTAGCTCAAACAACATGTTTGGAATGAAGTTAATGATGGATACTACTGGAGCCTAAATAAGAAAACCAAATACAATTATCCATATGGTGCACTAGTACGCAACATTTTAATAAAAGGCTCTTTTAAGTAAATACCTAAATGACAAATTTCCCAACATTTTCGTTTTGACTTCAACAAGTATAATCTCTACCGCCTTATATTCCTGAAGCCTGAGACCTTTCGGGCGGAGCCTCTGATCTACCTGTATTGAAATTTCTGATAATAGACAGTTAACATGTTCTTTTTCTTTCCGCTTTCTCTCGTACAGGAAAACAATTTTAGCGGGGCTCCCACGCGCGCTTCGCCCCATACTCATGGAATATGGTCAACCTCTTTTCTTTTGGTTGTCACGTGACTGACCGAGCGTACGTACGTACGTACGCGTCTACAGATTGTACGGGTAGGGTAGGGGAGACTATCAAAAGGAAGGGAGGGGTGTCTCAGGCGTGTCTTAGCAAATCCACATCTTTTACATTGGCCATTCACGATATGGTCAATTGACAGCTGTCAAAACAGGATAGCCACTGACCAGTATCGCATTGCCATATCGGGGGCTCATGTGGCAACTCATCAAGGTGACGTGAGTTATTTGGAAGCTGTCCGCTGACCAGTTGTTTTACTAGATCGCGATCAATGTTCAATCTCATACTTTCTAGCTAGTTTGGGAGCACAGGAAAACTGATAATGCACACATCCATTAGACATCAATGTTTTGATTAATTGACAGCTGTCAAAACAGGGTATCCGCTGACCAGTATCACTTGACCGTATCGCGGGCTCAGGTGTTAACCCATCGACGTCAAGTATTTTTTGAAGTTATCCGCTGACAAGTTACTAGTTTTCAAATGATCGCAGGCTCAAGTTTGATTTTTTTCATTCATATGAAATATGTTTTGTTTTTGGGCCGCACAATTAAAATTTTGATTTAAACCTGACCTCGGACCCGAAAATTCAGCCAGCTATTACAGGCAAGACAGTTGCTTTTGACTTTGCTCATCATGGTCACGCGTTGGTCACGCTCTACGTCCATTTTCTATGCTCTGATTGGTCAAAATTTGACAGGTGAGCTCATGCGGAAAATTTATGCAGCATCTTGAATCTTGTTTACTTTGACAGCTGAAGCTGAGAGAGTTTTGTGTCAACTTGTGATGTTTTTAACTGTCTTTTTCCACTGGATGCACAAAATGAAATTTAGCTGCTATCAGGAGCCTTCTGTTATTCATGGCTAGTTGGTTTTTGGTTGAGAAATTAATAAATCACTTGTCAAAGTCGGGAATCCGATTTCGGATGTCAACGTTTTTGTTTTTCACCTTGCTTGATGCGTAAAGGTTGAAAACTCTGAAGCGATACTGGCCTTACTTGATACCTTTCAGGAGCTGCATCTCGAATGGTAAGCCTCAGTAATTATTGTGTTTGATGTTTGTTTTTTATATCTAATTTAAAGAAGTCGAGCGTAATTTATGCGGCTATGTAGTTTATGCACGTTTGTAAGATTTGAGACAATTTGATCTGACAAAGAATCAGGTAAACTTGATATAAGCTTACACAACTTTAAAAAGTCTTTAGACATTTTCTCACCGCAGATAGAAAGAAAACGTTCCAAAGAACATTTAGTTATAATTCTGGTACTAAAAGAAAGCTTTGAGCGATTTTCTTGCCTCGAGTTCATCTGTGAAAAAAGTAAATACCGGGAAGGCGGCTTAAAACATAAACTTAAGCTTTAAGCTTGAAGACTCAGGATTTTTTCAATATTTGTCTCCGTGAATGAAAAATGTTGTCTCTGTATATGTTTCGCCGAATTATATTTTCTTTATTGATTGTTGGTAGTCTCTCATCTAATTTTCATCGCTTTGCCGTTTGTTTTCAGGCGTTCATAAACATCGCTTGCAGGAGTACTCAAAATGCCGCGCGTATCAAACGCTTTTAAAGATTACAGATCGATAAGACCGTTAAATAAAAAATAAACATAGTAATTTCTTTATTATGTTGGAGCTTAACTTTAGTATGTTCGTTCAAACATTCGCTACAGCTCGCACTGCAAAAGTGACAACCGGCTGGCTGTATATGTGAATTTGGACATATTTTTAACGGTTTAGCTAAAAGCCCACGCGTGCTTTGATCGTCCTGAATATTGAATGAGTGCAATTTTTGTTGCAAAATTGTGAAATACTGAATTCTGTCCGAGGTCTGTATGATAAAAACAGTTCCTCATAGTACTGTTTCACCTCAGATGTGATGTATAAATGGTATAAAAGGTTGGTTTACACGCAACCAGATTTGTTGGCAAGATTTTGTAAAGTAAACTTGTCGAACGCAAAAAAATTCAACCTGATTTTTTTTCCAGGCCTAATTAATCTTACGGTGATCAAGAGCCATTATGGCTCTTAAATGTGACTGAAGATGATTGCTATTTTTTGGGTATACATATGAGGTTATCAACTCCATGTAAGATTTTGTTCACTCTTGGGCTGTTTGCAAATTATCTTTCTCTAAAATCACTTAGCCTTTCCCTCAAAAGTCACATGAATGTGCTATGTGCTCTAAAGTTAACTGAATTGTGGAATACAAGTTTATTGTTTGATTTAAATTACAAATATATAATGGGAGCCTCGCTTTTAGCCCTGGCTAAATCTATATATTACTAAAGAACAGGTAAAGGAGGCGGAAAAGACACAAACGAACAGGGAAATAGTGTTAAAAGATAACAGTGAGGTGGATACGCAGGGCGTAGCGTCGATTTCTCGTAATCTCCTTGCTTTAAGACAGTAGCGCATAATTTGTTTTAAAATGAAGTATATTTTTAGTCGATGGTGGGAGAAAGGATGCATAACGAGAATAGCTACTCTCCATACGTACTTTTTCGCTAACTGTTTTGTTCTTCCTGCACACTTTTCAGTTGCTAATTGCCGTTTATTTACGAACAAGCCAAGTGACCTGAACCGCTCAGACTCCATTCAACTTATACTGTTTCACTTTTTTATCAAAATATTTAGGATGAGAAATTCAAAGTAACTGACAAAGAATTTCTATCCAGCCCATCAGCTTCACCAGGAACAGCAAGTCAACCTTTTAATTCCGCAATGTCAGTTTCAATCGAAAACCTAAAGGAGTCAGACGAGGTTCTCGGTGACGAAGAGAAGAGCTTTTCTACCCAACAACTGTTTTCAATTGCATTGCAGATAGCCCAAGGAATGGTAAATACTATTATTTTCTGGACAACATTGCAATGATCCTTGCTTTGATCAAAACGATAGGCAAAATAGAGAATGTATACTTTTAGCAATGAATTTTTAAAAAATCCATTTTTGGCCTTCTTTCAAAAGTTCTTTTTATAGGGCTAGCCTGAATGGAAACTGATTTTCTTACAGTGTGTCGACCACAGTTTTGACTCATTCGCGGCTTTTCTATTACTTGTCCAAACCTGAATGTTTTTCCTAGATGCACACATGATATTGTATGTTTCATTTGCCCCATATTTCTTTGGCTTCAGCAGTACCTCCGTCATAGGTTATTAAGGGCTCGATCCTGCCTTCAGCTATTTACTATTTTTATACTACAACATGAGAAATTTCTGCTATTTGATTGGCTTAGGGCAGTAGTATTTCAGCTTAATTTGAAAAATTACAAACCTTTTGTGGCTAGTAGTATAAACAAATAATAGCATGATTTGTACGTGAAATTTGGCATAAATACCACTCGTGATATTTCAAAAACGTCTCAAATTTCACTCGCCTAACGGCTCGTGAAATTACGTATAACAATTTCGAAATACCACTCGTAGTATTTATGCCAAATATCACTACAAATCATGCTATTACCTATACTAATGCTAGCAGTGTGCCATTATTCTCATGATTATACAATTTTGCCATATATTTCTTCAATTTTTAATAGAATCATCTCGCGGAAAACAGGTTTGTTCACAGAGACCTTGCTGCCCGTAATGTCCTCGTTGGCCATGGCAACCAGGTCAAAGTGGCAGACTTTGGGTTGATGAGACAGATATATGAAGATGTATACAGCTCAGGGAAGTCCAAAAAGCTTCCTGTGAAGTGGATGGCCCCAGAATCACCTTATCAAGGCCTTGACACTACCAAAAGTGATGTGTAAGAAAACAATTACTTCATCTGAGCAAGAGAACCATTTTTTGAAATGTTTAATTATCAGAAATTCGGCTCGCGAGAAAATTTCGCAGATAGAAGTAACAAACTCGCTAGATGTCATGCAACAATTCCAGTCACAAACAATTTCAGGTTTATAACTTATAAGTTCTCCATCAGTTTCCAAGGTCCTAAATTTTTTAACTCTCTTAGTTTTCAAATTCGAAATGCAACAAGTACCGCTTCCTTTTGCTGGAAGCTGAAAGCATTCCTCTTATCATAAATAGTAATTTATATATATTTATTATATGGAGGAGAGTGTTTTACTGGGAACTAAACCGCTCGTAGATTCCATACGCCACTTCATCCGGGACCCGAGTGGCGTATTTTCCGTATGTCACCTTTGTGAGTGTCGTATCGTTCAATGACGTCTCGATTCCCGCCTTTTGCTTTTGTTGAAATGGTTTCTCCATATAATAAAAAGAACATTACACGTTGGCTCGAAGATATGAATTTTATGTTCTCGTGGCAAAAACAATATCTCACTCGTTCGCTTCGCTCACTCGTGAGATATTGTTCTTGCCACTCGAACATAAAATTCATATCTTCTCGCCACCCTGTAATATCCTCTATTTATTATATGGACACGAGTGTTTTACTGGAAAATATACCACTCGTAAAATTCATAAAAACTTCATCCGGGACCCGAGTAGTTTATTTTCCATAATCTCACAAGTGAGTTTATCGATGAAATCTCGTGGCAAAAACAATATTTTACTCACTCGCTGCGCTCGTTCGTAAAATATTGTTTTGCCACTCGAAAATAAAATTCATATCTTCGCGCCACCGTGTAATATCCTCTCTATATATATGTATTTTTTTTTTACCTTTGCTCTTTTATTTTCATTTTTTTCTTTTTGTCATTTCGCCTTTTTTAGCCTACAACTATGATTAGTACGACTATCTAATATATTTTATAAAGATTTACTGTAGCTCTGCCTTTGATTTTCCCATGTGTAATTATGATAATATTTTGTTCTAATTATTTAACTGAGAGAGCCATTCCTTATAAGCCCGGTGGCTTCTTTTGGGCATCCTTGCCATGAGAGTTTAAATAATTAGATTTTTGTTTGCTTTGTACAACTTATGGCAAACAAAACAATAAGCAATAAACAATAGCATGAAATATAACCGTGACGTTAACTCCAGGGAAGACTTCGAAATGAAAGGGGTGGTGATCGATCCTCGTCGTCTCACTTAGAGGGGTAAAATAAAACGGTAAGCATGGTTTATCTTATCTAATTATCTTGAAAACAGACCTCTGGAGCCAGGGCACTTTAAGGAATGGACCTGAAGAAATTATTTTTTTTTTCATTTCTTTTTTTTTAGTAATACCTGATTCATGTAATCAAAGTTTCTTTAGGGGTTTAAATCAAAATTTCCGACGAGTATCTCCGCCCCTTTCATGCCGGAGTCTCCCCAGGCCTTAAAGATAGGTTATGCAAAGTTGAAGAAAAATTGACTTTCATCTGAGGGATTACTGTATCTAAATAATCAGAGGGCGACAAGCAAAACGGTTAACAAAATTTAAACGGCAGCACTAGCTGGTGGATTTCGACGTCAGATTGACGTGAGCTTCCTTTTCACCACTGTAGCAGTTACTGGGCTGAGGCTTGGTTATTTGAGTCTCTTTCTTATGTTTGTTCTAAAACTGAGGGGAGATGTTCTAACAGCCAAATGAAGTAGCGGCACCCAGCCATGGTTTCCTCCTAAATGCATTGAAAACACTTTTTAGGCTATCCAGAGACGTTTTAAATCTATAGAAATGAATTCTAAGCGGGCGCTATAAACTTTGTATCTGTTCGGTCATCCTAGGGGAACTTAAGTCTTTTGGAAATTACAAGGGCCTCAGTATTATTTTCTCGAAGATTTTAGATGCAATTTTAAGTTTTACAGAAGTGAGAATTTTTCTGATTCCTCTCTCCATCGCATTTTCGAATCCGAAAGTTTTAGGTTTCCTTTTCCTAAGAAAAATAGCCTATTAAACCTGGAGACTAAAATGCGTAGAATTGAACTTAAGAAAATCGTAGGGAATTTACTAGATATGCTTCGAAAATTGTACATGAATGGAACGGTCATCTAGAAATTTTTAGCCTTCCTCAGGCTAAAGAAATTTCTAGGGAATTTTTGCTTCTCCGAACAGATATTTTACAGAAAACAGTTGTTGGATGCCCCTGTTCAAAGCATCTCTTTCCGCAAATTTGTAAGAAAGGTGTGAGTTTGCGCAAAGTGAGCGGGAAGTATGAGTCGGTTGACAATAGCGTCAGGTCGTGCGTTCACCAAATAAAAATGATTGTTAATAGTAGATAATAGTGGGCTATGAACAGACTAAACACAATGGTTCTTTACATATTCATAGGTGGGCTTATGGTGTTCTTCTTTGGGAAATGTCTACCTTGGGTAAGTTTTACGGCTTAAAACCAATATTATCTAGTTACCTGCTATGGTGAATTATAGCAGAAACCCATGAGTTTCTGATTATAGTCAATAAACGACGATACAATCTACAATTAAAAAAGCTTTCCAGAAAAAATGAAATGTATTCATATAAATATGTGATTATCATTTTTTTTACCAGGAGGTGTACCATACCCCACGCTGACCAACACGGAGTTGTATCGACTGCTCGGCACTGGTTATCGCATGGAAAGGCCTGACATGTGCTCTGATGACGTGTACGTTACTTTACTAAGATCGTTTTATAACAATTATTTATTAACAGATTTGATGTTTTTTCCGTGCCTTTGTTTTGTTGCAAATTACATAGAACGTCACTCCAGACTAGAGAAATATCAAATTATTTGGCTATATTTTTTTATTTTTATCCAGCTGAACAGCCATGTAAAGTGATCCGTGTTTCAGAATCCGGGAAATTTTTAGCCAGTGGAATCCGAAATCCTGGGATTTGGAATGCAGAGTTTAGTTCTAAGAATCCAGAGTCCCTCTAATGATTGGAATCCCGAGTCCATGGTCCACTGGCAAGGAAACCGACAGAACGGAATCCAGAACCAAGGCTGTTTTTGATTACTGCACAAGGGGCGAATACCTACTCACATTATTAGCTGGAAATAAGATTTAGGCCTGGGCATTCCAAAACTATATACATCAACGGCGCATGTCAGATAATTGGTGGATGAGACGTGATTCAGTTTCATAAGCGTTAGGGGCCCCATTTCTAAACAGGGTCAGGTTACTCTGTTATAAAAACACGGGCTAACGAGGGATCGAAACTGTAATTGACCTCGTTTCTTATTCATAACAGATATGAGCTGATGACTGACTGTTGGAAGGAGGAACCTTACTCTCGTCCCAGTTTCTTTCAGCTGATCGAAAAACTGGAGGTGATAATGCAGAGGGATGCACCATACTTGGATCTAGACAAACACAATGAAGATCATCCATATTACAACGTGCCTCCTGAAGCAAGTGGTGACGAAGAAGGCAATATGGAAAAGGAGGAACCCCAAGATGCAACAAGCATAGATAGTTATTTATAAAGAAATGCATGATTATTGAGAAAGGAAACCAAGAAAAAGCAAAAGAAACTGATGCAAATACTGAAACAGTTAGGCGCTTCCCATTAACAAGGAATGTCTATCTTTCATCCCAAGCATGGCTCACAGCGTGTCAGAGTTTCAGACTATCTAAGAGATTTATCGTTTGCGAAAAAACAAATTAAGTAGAAGAGAGAAAAATAATCCAAAAAGCGGAACAGAGTAGGTTTTTCAGTAAATACGGATAAGATCAAGGCTTTGGTTGTCCAAAACAGCGATCACGTATATATGGTCTGATGGTCTCTCCTTCACCGAGTTTACGCGGCGGAGTAACGATATCCCGGTTAGTTGGGTGATCTGCTACCAATCGACAAAAAATGACCCGGTTAGGTGGGTCGCCCTTCTAGCCGAGCCAAAGTTTTGTTTCTCATGAACGGTTCGCCAAGTTTCTTTAGGAATTGTAGGAACGCTGGCTTACCCAGTGTAGCTCAGATAGGGGTGTGACAAGTCTACCCTCGACAATTTTTTTGTTTTCTGCATATACTCTCGGTTAAGAATCCTTTTCTTCCCAAATATTGATCGATTAGGGCTAGGCATTCGTTCAACTCTTATTTAACTTTTTTCTCTTTATCTCTTTATTAATGTTATTTGTAGTTAATGTTGCTGAATTTGTAGAGAAATAATCAAATTAACCTCATGTAAATTTACATGCGTTCTGTCGACATCTGTGACATCTTCATTCAAGGGTTTTCAGACTTCTATTTTTTGGTTCCAATGGAACGACGTCAATGTGTTTTTAAGAGACAGGTGAAAGTAAACCAAGTAGGTCCATTAAAAGCGGGGGTAGTTTACCTTTAGGGAGTTAATTGTTTTGAACAAGCTACAGCGGTTGTTTTGCTGTTAAAATCCTTTATTAATTTGTTGCATAAATAAAGAGGCTTTGAACGAGCTTATTACCCTGCTTGGAGGCGCAGATACAACTAACTAGATGTGCAATTTCCGTTCATGACAACGGGTAAACTACACGAAATAGCTACGACTTATTGTGTCCTTTTACTATGCCCTTAACAAGAGTAACGCTTTCCGTTCTCCTTTTCGTCTCATTTGAGAGAGATTTGATAAAGAATGTGATTCTAACTCATTCATTAGTATGAATAATTTCGGTAGTTTATTCTTCGGCCAGCGAGTAGTTTTATTTGCAGGTAGTCTCTAACCCTTTTTGATTTTCAAACCGAATGCTCTTTATTCTAAAAGCCTTTATTCTAAAAGCCTTTCTTTTCTCTCTTTATTTGAATCTCTATAAGATGGACACCTGAGTAAAATGGACGCTTAGAGATGGTCTCTGCCTTCCATTACCCCCTTTATTTGACTCTCTATAACCACTTCAGTAAAAAGGACACCTTTCCTTCCCTAACCCCTACCCCTTTCGACGCTTCGCAGGCTATTAGTACATGTCTAGTGCAACCATCGGGAGCCTGAACGTAGCGATAAATGGAGATTTTAATTATTGCATGATTCATTGTTTTCTAAACAACGTATCCATGTGTTACCCCATAACTTTTTACTTTTATTTTATGTGAAAAAAAAAATTAACATGCCGAGAAATGTGAATTTTTTATGGTGCTCCAAACAAGTAACAGGTCCATATATTTTTTGGCGATCGATTATTTACTTGTTACCATCTGTCAATTCACTACGTTCTGAGCAATCAATCAACTTTGGAGCTACAACCCTGGCCAAAACTCTTGGGACATTAACCAAACAGCTGGTGAAAATGACGCATTTTCTCTCCCCCCGTCCCCCCCCGGTTCAGTGTTCACGTTACGGCTTCAAATCTTTTTCAACACAATCAACATTGCTGAGGGGAAGAGGGGACAGCAGAAACAGGCTCTTTCAACAACATTTCCAAGCATTTATAACAGGTTAAATACACTTTTAATAAGCAAGGTGTGTTTTCGCGCCTCATTTTCTTAAGTGTCCCAAGACGTTTTGACCAGGGTTGTAGTTGTGAAAGCGGAAAATTTAAAGGGAAATAAAATTCAAGCAGTAATTGAGTATACTAATGGAACGCGATCGAAGATCGGAAGAACTGCACAGAAAAAAAGCCTTATTCACCTAAATTACAAATCATGACGAGGAGCGTGAAAAGAAACCAAAAGATACAACTCTGGGGGGGGGGCGAGGTACTTTAAGAATTTCTGGGTGGGGATGTGCCGCTGGGACCCTGGAACCCTTAACCTATAACAGAGCCAGTTCAGCTAAAAACAAAACAACAAATTTTATTGAAAATTGGAAAATAACTAATTACATTACTTTCCCACCCGCAAATAGCTTATGAACTAATCGAGGCGGGGGGAGCTGAAGACATATTACAAAACAAGAATTATATATAGATGGACTAAATAACAGTGAAGACACTACAATACAGTAAATAGAG